AAGTGAAGTCTAAAAACTGAAACCAAACAATATTTTTTAACAAATACAAAGAGAAGAATCAGAGAGCAAAGAGTATTGTTTGGGTTGAGTTGCCCATTGATTTGTAGGATAAGGGGTCACTGCTGTGCGTGAAGCACAGCAGTGACTGTAGTGTCTCCATTTGAGGTGTATTATGGCCTTATTTTTATGATCTAAACAGTCTATTTTGTAGGGTTTGTTGAGTATTTCATGCCTACCAAAAATCATATTAATCGGATATCAACAACTATATGATCGATAACCAAAAAAATAAATAATAAGTTTTATTTTGAAAAATAACATATCAGTCCTATAATATTTTAATAATTTTTAAAAAAAATTCGTTGGTTAAGAAAAAATGATGAAAACCAAAATCAGAAGCAGAAAGGACTAATGGCGAACGCAACTTTTGAATGTAACTAATAATGCAAAAATATGTGTGTATATATATATATATAATAGGGAAATGTTATCCAATAACATTGAAGCACAACTCCATATTTTTAGAGTGGAGAAGGCTTAAGCAGAAAGGACTTGATTATTATACGCACAAATAAAATCCTGGAAATCATTTCCCTCTAAAAGGAGATTCCCAAGAAGAACTATGTGCGATTTGCCCACTAAAACTGTATTTACATATAAATTTGAGAATTGATTTGCAGAGAAAGAACAAAAAAGAAAAAGGAATAACACAACTTTTCTTCTTCCCTTTTGTAAATCTCTTTATGAAACAATCAATGATCCGAACATAATCTAATATACAAAAATATGTAAAATGTACTGACTTTTCGTATTTTTTTAATATTTTTGATATTTAGTGAATTTTTTTAAAGATTTCTTTCACAAATATTATAATTTTTAAGTATATTTATGCTAGGTGTGTTTAAATTTTTTTTAAAAAAAATTCATGAAAATATTAAAAAAAATTCAGTGAAAACGAAAAAATAGAATTTTCTGAGAAGTGAAGTCTAAAAACTGAAACCAAACAATATTTTTTAACAAATACAAAGAGAAGAATCAGAGAGCAAAGAGTATTGTTTTTGTTGAGTTGCCCATTGATTGTATTGTACTACTTTGTAACTTTGTAAGGGCGTGGGAGATGCCATTGAATTGCCACCTCACCCATACATGCTGAGAAGTGGTTATTTCCATAGCCACTTTTCTATCATAAGTTGAAATTAGGGAAAACATGGTATGAGTAGTAAATGGTGAATTTAAGTGATTAACATATCATCGGAATTTTTTTGAAATTACTGAAATGTGATGCTCTCTTATTGGGTGTGTAGCTTTGGTATTGTTGCGTTATGCAGCTCCCTTTCCCTTGTCCCCTTCTACCAATTGTTAAAAAATAAAAAGTAGGACTAATTATAAATATGCAAAAATCACTCATTCAATTTATCAATGAATAATGTTATATTTATCAAATTACCCTGATTTTCTTAACTCTGTAATTCCAGCCCTTGACGATCACTCCCTTACCACCCCAACCTCCTCCACCACTCCAAACCTCTTCCATCCATTTCCGCCGCTCCCATACCCCTCTTACACCTTCCTCTTTTGCTCTAGTCCATTCCTTAATCACGGAACAACCTAATCGACCGAACCATAGCCATTGGAACCTCTCAAACTTCTCCTGCCCCTTCCTTCTTGTTGTAAATTTTTTTTGGGTGCAAGTGATATTTGTGTTTGATGCAAGTGCATAAAAAAAATTGTTATTCCTTTTATTTTTCCTTTTTATTTCACTTCTTACCAATGTGATTGTGAAAATTGTTGAGGTTATGCACACTTATCACCATGTATATGTTACACTTGCACCAAACACAAGTATCACTTTCACCAAAAGAAAATTTTGCAGCTACATTCAAAATTTGCATTAGTACAGTAACCCTTGCAAAACTAGTTGTCCTAATTTCTCTAGCTTACCCTCCGTTTGGATTGAAAGGTTTGGTGGGAAAAGAAAAAAATAATAAATAAAAAGGATAAAATTTCTCATTATTTGTCTAGACAATTAATGAGGTGAAAAATGAAGAGAAATTGCGAGAAAAAATAAAATCACACCAATTTAAATTATGATTCTCACACAAAGTAGTGAAATTTGATTTTAAAAAAAAATCAAAATTACTCTTTACAAGCAAATTATATTGCATCAACTACCCATACATCCTCTTTTAGTTATGGTTCATCTAAACAAAAAAGTGAAAAATAAAAATCATTTTATTTCTTTCTCATCTCAGGAACCTAGTGTAATAGTACAACCTTATAGTGCAATGGCATTCTCTTTGCGCCTAGCTTTGGCATAGCAACTATATTTTGATATATTTCAATTCATTCTCTTTTTTTTTGAAAGGTTTCATACAATTTTCCCTCCATCCAAACGAGAAACCCCTGATCGTAATTCAATGCATTACAATTTTCCCATCATCCAAACAAAAAAAACCCTAATTGTTAAAAGTGGGTATTAGACAAGATTGGTAATTTGGTACCCCTGTTGCCTTCCTCTTTTTGCCTGAAAGGATGATTGCCATGTTTGGCATAGGATGATTGTCATGTTTGGCGTTTTCTCCCTTTATCAATGAATTACAATTCAAATTGTTTTTGCCAAAATATTGGACTTATTAGTGCAAATTACACAGAGCGTCATTGATTCATTTTGTACTTTTTTTTGTGAGGGATTATGTGTATTCTACAAACAAATTTCCTCCCCATCCATAAACTACTGTAATTTACACTTTTTCAACAATTACCTATGAACAATGCCCTTTCAATAAGGGCTGGCAACCCTTTCAAACATATTGTAACTTACCCTTTCATACCTCTTAAGAAAAGGAAATTACATATCAGTCCTATAATATTTTAATAATTTTTAAAAGTTTTCGTTGGTTAAGAAAAAATGATGAAAACCAAAATCAGAAGCAGAAAGGACTAATGGCAAACACAACTTTTGAATGTAACTAATAATGAAAAAATATATGTATATAAATATATAATAGGGAAATGTTATCCAATAACATTGAAGCACAACTCCATATTTTTAGAGTGGAGAAGGCTTAAGCAGAAAGGACTTGATTATTATACGCACAAATAAAATCCTGGAAATCATTTCCCTCTAAAAGGAGATTCCCAAGAAGAACTATGTGCGATTTGCCCACTAAAACTGTATTTACATATAAATTTGAGAATTGATTTGCAGAGAAAGAACAAAAAAGAAAAAGGAATAACACAACTTTTCTTCTTCCCTTTTGTAAATCTCTTTATGAAACAATCAATGATCCGAACATAATCTAAAAAGAAGAAAACAAAGAAAAAGTAACACTGAATCTAGATTGAATAGTAGAGAACTAAAGATTATGAGAATCGAATCTTGTTTGATTCATCCACAACAGCTGCAGAGATGATCTGGAGAAGAAATGAATGCGGCGAGTATAGAGAGAAACTCTACAAACCCTAATATAGTGGTAAAACTCCTGCCTCTACAATACTTATATACACAGAATGAGAGGGGCTTGCCCAACTGGTCCTTAAATTGAATTGCATTTGGGCCTCAATAGATTTGGGTAGATTAAATTTACTAGGCCCATTTATAATTATGAGCACGCTTGGGAATCATGCTTGGTTCGAGTCCATCGTGGGTCGGCTTGGCCCGCGTATATTTTGTTTGTACATAATAAAAAAAAAATTACATGTATTTATATTTTATATTATTTAACTTTGTTGTTAAAGATTGAAAACAATTTATAAAGGAATTAATTAAAAATTTTGAACTTTTAACCATAAGACAACATCAAAAAGGTTAAAAACTATCAATATTATTTTATATTTAGGTTGTGAATAGGGCGAAATAAAATAAGGTATGAAAAGGGAATTGTTCCTGTCCTACTTTCTTATCAAGGGCGGAAAAAAACTCATGAAAAGCAAGTGAAAGATGCAGGAGCATAGTGGGGGCGAGGAGAAATTGTCATCCCTAAATATAAATATATTCCAAGTTCAGAAATTTTACTTAAGCTCAATCATCAAATCGGACTTAGGTTAGTACGTATTCTGTTATTACAAGACAAGTCTATTCCAAATTTGGCCGAGCATGTCACTTGTTAATTTCTACCCCTCCGATAACATGGACACCATGGCTCAAATTGTCATTTTAACAATGTAATTTCTGTGTGTGTTAATTACACTTGACTCCATGTGGCCAATCTAAAAATAAAAGTTTTTTATTGTTCAAAAAGATTTCCTTTTCATTTCATCAATGTCCTATAACTATCATGTAATTAGAAGTTCTAATTTTCTTTTTTCTATTTTTTCTAAAATTTTAAAATAAAAAAATATTGGCAATAATTTTAATCAGTTATCGACCAGGAAATGAAAATTTTCCTTAGATTTATAAGATCAAAATTATTTGATCTGAATTAAAGTAAAAATGGTAATAGGGCAAGGCGTAGCCGGATTTCACTTTCCCCTCATCAATTACCAGATACGTAATATTCCTCCACCTGCTAGTCCGAACGGAAATATGTTGAGGCTTCCATCCCCGCCCTTAAGAGGGAATGTCCAATGCTCCGTCGTGGTGGTAGTGATGGTTTTTGTTTTTTTTCATCAATATACCACATTGAACATAAATTATCTGGCTTAGGAGAGGTGGTTTTCGTTGACTTTTATGCTGTGTTTGGTTGGGGGATTTGGAAAGAGAAATGAAAAAGGTAGGTGAAATGTGAATAAATCATGCTTATATTTCACATAGTTTCACGCACCTTTTCCCTTTCCCTTTCCAAATCCCTCCCTAAATCCCCCAACCAAACACACCATTAAGGATCCCACAGCAGTTCACTAGGTTTATCACATGCTCTAATGACTCCAAATTGAAAAAAAAAATTATAAAATCAAACGGGAAAAAATCATCAGAAAAGTTCTTTTTTATTCTTATTATACTGCATAAGAAACCACCCAAGCCTAATTCACGCTGTGTTTCCTCTCATTACAATTTCCAGTAAACTGAAAAATCAAGAGAGATCGGCAGGACAATCTCATTAAAACTAAATCTTGTTATGGTCAAAAAATACAAATAGATAATAAGTATTTTAATTATCAAAACAATGATAGAGTAACAGAATAACTTCGAATCTTATAAAGTATAATACAACTGACCAACCAACCAAGCGAGGCTGCAAAGAACCAGTTTGTTATACCATAACGCAGTGGCAAACACCGTATTATGGGACTCCATGCAACCATAATTCAATCAACATTACTGAAGATTAATGATCTTTCCCTTGAGATGTGCAGCAATTTCACCAATTCCCTCATTCACTTCAAAATGTTTGCAACTTCAATTCAATCATAACTAGCATTCAAGAATTTCAGCAATTCGTTTCGATTATTTTCAGCCAACTTGTCCTCCTTCGATTTGTCAAGCTTCAACAGAATCTAACAAACAATCCAAAGACAAAAAAATAAACAAACAATCCAAAGACGTTCATCATCTCCATACATGAAATATTCAACAAGGTCATTGAACAAATATTAGCAAACTGCCTTACCTTCTTTCCAGAGACAACACTGCGGCGGACACCATCCTCTTTGTCGCGACCTAGAAACTGGATATGGTGAAATAACAAAGTTACTGCAAATGAAGTGGAAATTTTGAAATTTTTTAATCTATTAAGTGCAATGTAAAACCTTCGACAGCTGTACAGGGCTGCTACTCCTCTCATCCTGCTGCTTCTGTAGATGGCTCCGATTGCCAGGTCAAACCCGAGGCAGAAACATCATCCAGGCAAATCAACGAAGCACCCAATCAACATGTTACAGACCCCAGCTCCAATTTCGAAGAGCCATTCCATGGAAAAGCAGAAAGTATTATAAGCACCTCTTATATGGAATATGATACATCAAACACTCTATAAGATTGTGTGACGTAACCATGAAGACACCCTAATACTAGAAACAATAGCAAGTTGCAGCAATGAAAATAGTAGCAGTAAAAATAAATACACATCAAAAAAGATTATTGTAAAAGTAATAATAATTCGCTGAATGCATTACTCACATGAAACTCCAAAACTTCATGGAACAATTTTGTATAAAATTCCTTGGAAAATGATTGTCCAGAAGTAGTTTCAACTAAAAACTATGTTAATGAAGGCCCATTCACATACAAGCTAACCCAAAAACCCCAACCAACATATGCTTTTACATATTCCCTAAAAAGCATGGACACGGACACGTGACACAACACGGATACGACACAGACACGTCAACACATTAATTTTCAAAAAATGTAGGACACGACACGCGTAAGACAAGCATGAAATATATAATTTTATATATTTATTATTTCTTATATATATAAATATATCATTCAAAGATAATAAAAATGCAATATGACACTAATTCCTATAAATTTATATAGATTTTGTTTTATTATTGTATCTTAAGTTGTTTTATTTAAACTTATAATTAGTTTCACATGTGTCTAATCGATAGACACATGTGCTTAAGCGATTGACACGTGTCTTGTAAGTGTCCAAAGAGTGTCTGGGTCCTTAAAAAAAATTAAAAAATAGGACGCGTTTTGAAGAGTGTTGGACACGTGTCCTAAGAGTGTCAATGTCCGACACAGATAGAAGTGTCAACCATGGTTATCAGAATCCCGATCCGGATCTTACGATCCTACGATCTTACGATCCATTTGAGTACAATCGATCCGAATCATGTAAAAAACTCTTTGTAGGTAGGATCTTTCGATCCTAGTAGTGGGATCTAATAGAATCGTGGAATCCCGATCCGAATCCGATCCAATCCGATCCAATTTATAAGCCTTGTTTTGTATTGTATGACATATTTTGTTGTAAATTTTATGTTTGTTGTCTAAATACCAATTTATGTCGTCAAAATAAATATTAAAAATTAAGTAGTATTGAATCAAATAGACTAAGAAAAACAAACTAGGAAACAAACATTCAAATATTGCGGTAATTTAAGAAAATTAAATAGTCGGAAAAACCAACTTAACTTTAGCGGAGTCTAAGAAGGGTAAGATGATTGCAACTTTATCCCAATTTCTGGAGAAATTATTTTTGTGACTCGAATCCGCTCCACTAGGGATGCTAACGACAAACCTTATCATTCGACTAAGCTACTCTTTTGAGTTCTTAATCTATTTTCATTTCCAATATTGTTAAATATTTTTTCTTCACTTTTTATGCATTATTATACATTGTAAAGTATTTTGTTATATAATTCTTCTTCTTCTTCACCTTCTTTTTTGATAAAATACAGAACTTTTACCGTCGGATTTTCTATTGCATAATATTATATGTACATTTTACATGGAGTATTATATTTTTCACAATATCTTCACTTCTTTTTAATAGAATATAAGTTCATTTTGTGTATACTTTATAAGAAATATTTATTTAAATTAAATTATTATGCAATTTGTCTTTTTCGGTAGGATCTTACGATCCTCGATCCGATTCTACGATCCGATCCTATAAACACCTCCAACGATCCAACGTAGGATCCCGATTTTAACAACCTTGGTGTCAACGCTTCCTAACATATTCCTTTCACCATTACAACAATCCTACAGTCAATTCCTAACAGTCCTTTCTGTTTCCCCATTGCATAACTTTTCTTCAATTTGTCAAGTTACGTTGACAAAACCCCTATGAAACTTCAAAACAATGTGATTGATTTCAAAAGATATTATACCATTCCAAGACTAAGAATATGGTTTACAATAAGGATTAAAAAAATAAATAAAATAGTGTAGAGACAAAAGAAGCTACAGAGAGATTAGTGACCAACCTCTTTAACTTTATGCTTATGGCGTTTGTGTCGATGACTCTTCCCCTTGTCCTTTTCCTTGTTCTGTAAAGCAAAGAAAGTAAATGACCCTATTTTCCAAACAGGAAATATAATGAGTGGCAAAGAAGTTCTGATAAACCACCTTCTTAGGCCTGTCATTCTGTTTGTGTCTCTTTGTGTGATTAGATGCTTCATGTTCACTGTCAGAAGAACTGTCGCAACTATATCAATTCATGTTAAGAAAATAATGTCAGTAACCAAATAAACACCATTTTCTCTGCTCTATCTCTATGCTAGATAACGAAAAGAATTTAATACAAATACAGCAAATTCCTATTTCCCTTCCCCTCGCATGGGTGGGCCCCAGAGCGTGAGAGAGGGATGCTCATACAGTTATAATGACTATGGATTCAGCTGTATGCAAAATGTTCATTGCTTTAAGAGAGATTTTCAGTTATGCATTGGAAACAGGAAGCACAAAACATCTAAAGTTTTTAACGAAGCATGCTTCAGAACAGTATTACCTCACGGACCTAGTTTTCATGACATTATCCGTGCCTTCCATATCCACCTTTCACTCTTGAAAATATTTACATATGCCTCTTGTTAAATCAAGCTTCTAGTAACTGAAACTCATTTCCTTGCACTAATAATAATAATGTTGTCGTAATTAATTAACAAATTGATCAAAACCAATTGAAGAGTTAAGTGGAGAAGAATGATTCATGTAACCGATCTCATTCGATGGGACTTCAGGTTTGGTCCGATTTGGTTTGGTTAATCAAAACCGATTGAACAATAGTTCTTGGTAGGTGCTCATCTACAATATTAAAAAATATCCATTATACAATTATGGATGGCTTAGAACTAGAAACACTATGGCAAGCAAAGAAACACTTTGGGCACTGTGGACAGTATCGGTGAACAATAACCTTGTGGTTTTTTTGATATTTAGCAAGCTAGGGTGCTAAAATTGAGAAACTATGACACTTGAGGGCTGAATTTGGGACAAGTGCAAATATGGTTTTGGAGTTTAAATGCTTTAAGATGTAGAAATCAGGAGGAAGATCTTTAGAAATCACTTCTAAAACTAGGAATTAGGGATAGATTCCTAGAGCATCACACCTATGGAAAGAGAATTGCACATAAAATCCAAATGAAGCTTCGAAAGTTCAGAAAAATCCCTAAGAACAGATTAACGCACATAGCACAAGCACCACAAATGATAAGATGATACAACGTGAAATCATGTCCGGACCCTAGATAGCTATAGAAAGTTAACTTCCCACAAAGTAAACAAGTTCTTAATTGAAGAACAGCTCTAAGCTATTACATCCTGTAGTGATCATAGGCAAGAAATCAAACCAAACCAAACCAAGCCAGGACTTAAGTCCCTTTAAATGAGGTCAGCTGCATGAATCCTTCTTCTCTACTCGACTCTATCTAAGGCTATTTCATTAGTCAAATTAAGGAGATTCATATTTCTATTTTCTACACTAGTCCACATCAATCTAGGCCTACCCCTTCCCCTATCACCACTATCTACAGTCACTGTATCGCATCTCTTTACTACTGCCTTTATTGGTCTGCGTTGTATATGATCAAACTATCTCAATCTATTTTTTCTCAACTTATCTTCTATCGATAATATTCTTACCCATTTTTGAATATACTTATTCCTAACTCTATCCTTTATAATCTTGCCACACATCCACCTTAATATCCTCATCTCAGTAACACTCATCTTATCTACATATTATTTCTTAGTTGCCAACATTTTGTCCCATACAATATCACTTGTCTAATAACCGTTCTATAAAACGTCCCTTTTCATCTAATGGGTACTCGTTTATCGCACAGTACTCCAGATGCACTCCTTCACTTAAGTCATCCCGCCTTAATTATATGGACCACATCCGTTCCAATCTCCGCAGCCATTGTGATAATTAATCCTAAATAACGAAAATGTTCACTCTTAGGTAGTTTTTAGTTCTCAATCTTCACTTCTCCTCTGTTTCCATTGTAACTGTTACTAAAATTATACTCCATATACTCTGTCTTAGTTCTGCTTATCCTAAATCCTTTAGATTTAAGTGCTTTTCTCCAAATCTCCAACTTAGTATTAACTTATTTTCTACTCTCATCCACTAACATGATATCATCTGCAAAAAGCATACACCATGGCACATCATCCTGAATATTGCGTATCAACTCATCTATAACTAAAGCGAAAAGATAAGGACCTAAGATTGATCCTTGATGTAACCCTACAGTAATTGGAAATTCACTCGTCTCGCCAACAAGCGATCTAATAGTGGTCACCACATCTTCATACATATCTCTAATCACATCAATATAACATTTTCTAACCCTTTTTTTCACCACACCTTCAACTTAGAAAATTACTGCATTTTTGTTAGTATAATGAAAATTACAAAACATCAAAATACTGCTTTCATGCAAAATTAAAACCACAAGGATGTAATGGACCCATCTATATGTTTCCCAATTCTGATCCTACAACTCATTGTATTCTATAAAACTCATATCCTCCCAGCAAGGTAGCCCTCTTAGAATACAAACTCAGGAAAATGCTTGTAAAGCAAGTGGCATTTCAGGTACAATAACACCAAAAAAATATGGAAAACTAATACCAAACGGCAGATGAGATTTGAACAAGCAAAGTTAAGAGGGGAAAAAAAAAATTAGCAATTTTCTAAATTAGAATTAATCTCAATACCAAAGGTAGTTCCTAATAACAATAAGCCTAGTAATTTATAGGCAAACCACAAGGTCCCAACTACGAAACTACACAATAAATTAAAAAACAAACGACATTATATAATTAATTCTTAAAATTAATCCCAAATAAAAATTAGTCAAGGTAGAATCATCCTTCCTAGACTCATATAGAAGGGTGGGTCTCCTACAATCTCCACCATTTCTTCTCAGCATAGAAGAATTCTGACTCTGAAGAGTGGCAACCGTAATACTGCTCTTCGAGGACACAACTCCTCATCTATGGTCCAATTAACATCGCAGAAGCATTCCTTCTACCGGACAAGGTACTCTAAAGCTGCCATTGAAAGAACTAATATTCAAGCCTCAAGCACATTCTCAACTTGATAAATCTTATGTAAAATGCAGGGAGGCATTGGTACAGAAGACGTAAAAACTCCCTTGTAGAAACAGATGCATGCACTATGGAAGGCTTGAATGTGCCCTAGTAAGAAAAGAAATCCTTCATATTGAAAACCGGAAGATCTCTAGTGGTCTGCCATTTGAGTTGTCAATGTCAAAATTTGACAGGAACTCTACTTTTAAGTTCTCCAAAAATGGCATTTGCGCCATTGGAACAAAATTGCCAAAATATAGCATTTTGGCCATTGTAGCATACTAAAATATAAGTTTGGCATTTTTTTTTTTTTGGCTATTGAATGAGTTAGGCAATAATGCTCAGCTATTAGAGGTGCTCTAATGCTCATATGATCATATCAGACAGTAACTCGAGTAAATATGCACCAGGCCCAAGCCGATGGATGATGTCATTGGCTTTACTTAATAACTCTAGTATGAATTTTTTTTTAAGGAATGCTTATGCTATGTTTGATTGGAGAATTTGATGAGGGATTTGGAAAGGGAAATGAAAATTGTAGGTGAAATGTGAATAAAATATACTTTTTCCTTTCCAAATTCATCCCTAAATCCCCCAACCAACATAGCATTAGGTTTATGCTAAAGATGAACCCATGGCATAACATAGTCACCTTCATTAACTACTTGATTCCTAAGTTGAGTATCAAGTTTATTATTTAACTACTTAGAGCAAAAAAAAATTAGAAGGATGAGAATCAGGTGGTACAACGATGAGGTCAATGGACTAGCAAGGAGATAAACTATAGACTATGTCAAATGGACTCTTATCAGTAAATCAATTAACCAAATCGTTATAAGCAACTGCTCCCAAATACCCAACTTGTCACACACTAGACATCTAAGCAAATAACCCAAGCTACAATTAATTACCTTAGTTAAACCATCAATCTGAGGGTGAAAGGTTGAGAAAAACTTCAATTTAGTACCAAAAAACTTCTAGATTGTCTTCCAAAACAACTGGTAAACTTGACATCTCAATTAGACATAATAGAACTATGAAACATCATAATCTCTCAAAAGAAAAATTTATATAGACACTATTCTTCTAGATTGTCTGCACTCTTCAATACTGTTGTTGCAACAAAACAAATTGGTACTGCAACTTCCAATAGGCATCCCTGGTGCAACCTCTTGAGGTTCCTTAAATAAATTTCATTCAATATGCTTATGTGGTGAATTGAAGTTACAAGAAGTCCATGTGTCAGCAGTACTCTGAAGCTTGGAATGTTTATTGCATGCTCCATCATTTTTTGATACTTTGTGTTCATTACCGTCAACAAATTCAGTTGGGCAATAGTTTGGACAAATTGTTAGCTTGGTTCGAATTTTCTCTGAAACTCCAAGAAGATAAGCGCCCCAACGTTGAGGGCAAGGTTGTTTTATGCTGTGTTTAGTTGGGAGATTTATAAAAGGATTTGTAAAGGGAAAGGGAGAAGGTAGGTGAAATATGAATAAAATATACTTACATTTCATCCAATTTCACACACCATTTCTCTTTTTTTTCTAAATCATTTATCAAATCTCCTAACCAAAAACAAGGTTAAGGGGGATGGAATGATACAAGTGGAGAATTAGTTAGTTGATAAGTAAGCAATAGTTAGTTAGAAGAGTTAGTTGAGTTGATAGAGTTAGTTGAGTTAGTGAATGAGTTAGTTACAGTATAAGAAGGCATTATCATGAGTGTCAAATTGTAGATTTATGTGATAATTGATCTTTTCTCTCTCTCTCTCTCTACCTTCTGTATGTTTTTATTTTCTCTGTTAATTACTTCTGGTATGCATCAATATATGTATGTCATGATCAAGGTTCTGAAAAGCGGTTGCGGTCGCCGTAACGGTGGCGGTGACGTAGTTGCGGTTGCAGGGTGTAAAGGCCGTAGTGTAACGGTTGCGGTAACCGAAACTGTGAATTTTTTTATTTTTCGCACAATTTGAAAAAAACTTACCGATACGCATATTTTTTTTCCATGATCATATTTATTGGATTAAAAATAAATATTAATTAATTTTTGTAAATTTTTAAGTATGATCCGATATATTTCATATTTTTAAATCACTGTAAATTGAGTTTTTTACATTTTATTTTAATAATTAATAACTTTATATTATACAAAAAATCAATCACTAACTATTATATATAAGATAAACAATGACAAAAGAAAGAGAATAAATAAGAGCCTAAATATATATATATATATATATACATATTTTAACCAAGCCAAATAGATAATGACCACACTTATTATTATTATTATTTTTAAACAATACATAGATAGACACACACAAGCAAAATGGTTTAATAATAGCAACTAAATAGAATAGCATGGGTCTTACAACTTCAACAAATCATTAATATGTTCTTCATCTTCCCTCTTCTCTCTCTCTCTTACTCCTCCATTTTCTCTCTTTATCTTCCCCCTTCTCTCTATCCCTCTTCCCCAATTTTCAGCTTTTTTTGTATGTTTTTTCAAAAAAACAGTTTGGAACCGTTACGTAACGGTGTGTAACAGGCCGTTACGGCTGTTACGGCACCATTACGACCGCTACGGCCGACACACCTGTGAATTTCAATCACACTACAAAAGCGGCCGTAACGGGTGGCGGTAACCGCCAAAACCGTTACGTAACGGCGTTACGTAATGGTTGCGGCCGCTTTTTAAAACCTTGGTCATGATAGTTAAAAACATTAGAGCAACAAAAATCAAAACTGAAACTATAAGTAAAATCATTAATAAACTTAAAAAACTCCTGAAGCACAAAAAAGTTTGAATTATTATTAACAAAACAGATTTCCATCTGGTAATATAAATTTCAAATAAACAAGAAAGGTTAATCTCAATTAATGTAGCTATTTATTATACAAAGATATAAACTGATCTCAAATCTCAATTGACGAAACTCATATTCCACGTAATCAAAAAGAACAAGTTTAAAGCTTCAATAGTTTGAAGAAAACATATATATATTAGAATATGAAACCCTAGATTCAAATAAACATGAAAGACTAATCTTAATTGACAATATAGAATACATAGATCTAAACCGATAGTCATAGAGCGATTAGATCAAAGTTGAGTTTGAGAGAAACCTGTAATCGTCGGACGATGAAGAGGAGTAGCTGTCGGAGTGACGCTTACGACGACGCTTCATGTGGGAGCGGCTCTTCTTGCGAACCTTCAGAGTGTCTTTGTCTCTATCTTTGTCACGGCGGCGGAGGCGGCGGCGGCGGTGGTGGGAAGGAGATGACGGATCGGAGGCGGAGGACGACGCGGAAGACGATGAAGCGGCCATGGATGAGAAGCGAGGAGACGATGACCAGCCTTGCACTCCTTTTGGATGGGGAGGATATCTAATGTTTTAAATGATTGAATTGTAGTAATAAGGAAAAAAATAATAATTAAACAGTATTGTATTGTGCGTTTATTTATCTATCCATTTTTGACAAATTGCCAATGTACTTTCTACGATTTATTTATAATACATATTATTGTTTTATGTTAAAAAACTACAAATATCTCATTATTAAAAAAATTTAGTTAATAGTTTTAACTAAAAGAATAAAATTACTAACTTCTTTCCTATACAATGATAAATTAGAATTATTAATTAAAATAATTTTTGACATCATTAAAAATTATTAATTAATTTAATAATTTATTAATAAAATAACTAATTGTTATAACATTAAAAATTTCAAAGGGCGGGATGTAACTTTCATAATCACAAGGGGCAAATCATAAGCCTACCTTGAGAGAGGTATATTTGTAATTTATTCTTATCATTTACATAATTTATTTATTTTTTAATAGAGAAATGTTTTATGATTGAATTGTAGTAATAAGGAAAAAAATAATAATTAATTAATTAATATCACAGTATTGTATTGTGTGTTTATTTATCTATCCATTTTTGATAAATTACCAATGTACTTTCTACGATTTATTTATAATACATATTGTTTTATGTTAAAAAATTACAAATATCTCATTATTAAAAAAATTTAGTTAATAGATTTAACTAAAAGGATAAAATTACTAACTTCTTCCCTATATAATGATAAATTAGAATTATTAATTAAAATAATTTTTTGACATCATTAAAAATTATTAATTGACTTAATAATTTATTAATAAAATAACTAGTTGTTATAACATTAAAAATTTCAAAGGGCGGGATGTAACTTTCATAATCACAAGGGGCAAATCATAAGCCTACCTTGAGAGAGGTATATTTGTAATTTATTCTTATCATTTACATAATTTATTTATTTTTTAATAGAGAAATGTTTTATGACACTAACTTAATGTCAGCTTTAGGGAATGTTTGATGATGTGATTAAATATTTGAAATTGAATATATTGAGTGATAATTAATTAAATCTGTTTCATAACCATAATTAATATCATTTAAAAATTTAAGTAATTTTTAACATGTAGGCTAAAAATTAAGAAAATTTGAAATCATATGAAACTTACTTAATTTTGACTGAATTTATAAATACTAAACATAATTGTCGATATATACTATTATAAACTCACTACTACCATCACTACCACAACCATTACCATCACCATCATGCCACCGCTACCACTGCCACTGTCACTGCCACCACTTTCATCACCATTGTCATTATTATCATATGTATCACCATCATTTTACCACTGCCACCAAACTACCACCATAGTCGTCATTGTTATTACTACCATCACTACAACTACTACAACCATCCACCTCTACAACCATTGCCATAACTACCACTATAATAACCACCATCATTACACCTATTACAAGAAATTATTCTTTTGTTGACTAAATATTATTTAGGCCTCGTTTGGAAACAGGCTTTTTTAGTAACTTTTTAATTTTTTGACTAAAATATAATGTAAAAAAACTAATATATTTGGAATGACTTTTTGGTTTTTTATGAAAAGATGTGCAAAAAGTAAAGAGAAAATAGAATCTTTGACTTTTTTGTATAGGTTGTTAACATTTTGGTTCTTTTAGTGATTTTTTGACTTTTAGACTAAAAAGTGATGTTACCAAACGAGTCCTAAGTCGAGAAAAATACATATTTCCCAACCAAATCAAAAAATATTATCCAATAGTTTTTATTTTCCATGACTAATGTGATATAGTGGCAAAATTATTTTGTTCTATGACTAATTTGAAATATGGATCATGAAATCTAGAAGCGAGAATGTGAAGGAAAAAAAAAAAGCCAAATTTTTTTAGCGGCTAATGAATTTCAGTTGTGGATATCAAACTTACGTCGTTTTCATAGTTAGCATACCTATTGTATTATGTGGCGACCAAAACCTGTAGTAGGGGAAAAAATTGATTTTTCCTCTTTGGCGACCAAGTAATTGCTTGGGAAAACAACTAATACTTTTAGTGACTAAATTTGTTAGTCAGTATTTCACTACTCACTAATATTTTAAAATCGAACTGACGAGCGAAGCAGAAAAAGAATCAAGTGGACTGGTCACTGGTTCAATTGTCGGGTCGAGCCGAAATCAAACTATGATGTCATAATTATTTTACACATATATTAAAAATTATTTAATAATAACATAAGAATTAAGATACATTTATTTAAATTATTTTTAAAATTTAAGATTAATTTATAATTACATAAACATATTTATATTTGTAGTGAAGGTGGTTTGGAAATACTTTAGAATCCAGTCAGACGTCGCTGATCCTCTGATTGTTACCTGAAAAATGGATAAACACTCCGGTCGGGAGTGTCGGAATTAGCACTCTGACGGACAAGTTAGTATTCTGTCTAGTTTACTTATATTTCAAGTTACTTCCTCTATTCTCATATACCTTTCTTTTGGCTGATGTTCCTCTTTTTATAATACTCTTTTGGGGGCCACCTTCTAATTTATGGAAACTCTGCCCACAGTTGGGCTCTCATTTACGCCGTATGATCCACAACCTACTAGGCCCATCTCATTTACGCCGTATCGACCGAGGCGGGCCACAATTAGTAGGCTGGTAAGAGCAGACTTGCATTTGGCTCCAAATTGTACCTTTTATATTCGGCCACCACGATTGCCTCCTAAACATCTGAGTATAGATTATGATGATTGGCATGTTTGGTAGACTTGCTTTCAAGCCAGCCAAATCTTTGAAAATCAAAAATACGGCAATTGCACTCCTTTCGGTACTGATTCGTTAGAACAGACGCCATATCGCAATCATTTCAACTTCCCGCCCCTTCGCTTTTGACAATCATTTAATGTTCGAATTGAAAACTGTTCTTCCGTATATTTTTTAGATCAAGAGACTTGCGACTTCTTCTGGCATCCTTTTCATCGACCTTCTTTGCGACCTCTGTGATTCTACTTTCTACTGTTTATTATCTCCTTCAACCTGTAAGTTCCCTTCTCTCTTTTCTTTCAATTCTCATTCCAGTCCCTTGCTTGTTTTGTTTTTATTTAGTATACGTTTGGTTCATATTCCGTCTTCAATGGCGAGACATTTGAAAGCCCTCATATCAAAAGATCGAGTCTCAGCCTTCCGTCGTCATTTTTCGATTCCAAACGACGTACACCTGTCGCTTGTTGTAGACAGTGTGTTAGACATGGAACGGGCTGATACGAACACCATTATTTTCTCCCTTTTGTCCATCGCTGAGGATGGAGTTCGATTTCCCCTCCATTCCTTTCTTAGGTCAGTCCTATGTTATTGGGGTCTTATTCTTTCTCAACCTAACGTGAATTTTTACCGCATAATCATGCGAATAGTGGAGTTGAATAGGCGGTTAGGACTTAACCTAGGAATCCCAGCTATCCGGTATTGTTACGTCATGGCGAAGTTGTTCGGTCGGCAGGGCTGTTATTTCCCGAGAGCTAAAGACATTGATCATCACTTGGTGGCCATGCTTACCAGCTCAGGAAAGAGGGTTGATGATGTCATGGTTGCCATCAATGGCAACTGGGAATTTGGCGAAAGAGATGATCACCAAGACCCAGTGTTGAGGCAAAAAGGGGAGCTAGGTGGCCGACTAAATTGTTATACCATTATTTTGTAAAAAAAGCCAAGGCAACCAAGTCTCAATCGATGGCCAGACGAACCCGGTTGTGATGGACAGAATAAACCAGCGCTTGCTTGATCATGCCATAGCCGATTGAGATACGGTAAGCATGTTCGCACAAGAGGCGATAAGAACGCGGGCCTATAATGAAGGCTTTTTTTATGGCAGAAAGATCGGTATCCAAAAGACTAGGGAAAAGTTGGCGGATGATGTTTGCCAATGCGAGAATCATGGTTTCAAGCACGGATGGACAAGGCTCTGCAAGCCGCGGGCATCGATTTGGCGTCATCTCTATTTAATAATTACAAGTTTCCCTTCGAAGCTTACGATGCCGAAAAAATTAACGACGAAGAGGTTACCGAGCCTGAGAATACTTAGCTATTAAGACATGCTATTATATTTGTGAATCTGTCGAGAGCCGTGTATTTGTACCTTTTTGATGAAATAAATAAATATTTGTCATATTGGTTTGTTTAATGCTTGTATATACTTGTGATAATTACATGTTGGCCCACGAAGCCGTATTACTAAATACAAACGACGCACCAAATTCGGAGGATTACTTGGCCGTTCATGGTTATGCACGAAGGGCATTCTGAGTTCGGAGTCATGTTCGCCAGTCTTGACATCTACGAAGGACACTCTGAATTCGGGGGGCTTATTTGGTCCAAACATGAACATGTACGAGGGGCACTACAAATTCAGAGGCTTTTTTGTATTGACAAATCGTGATATCCAAGAAGGGCACTCCGAATTCGGAGGATTATTTGGCCCAAACGTGAACATGGCGCTCCGAATTTGGAGGCTTTTTTTTTTTTGTTATTGGCCAATCGTGATATCCACAAAGAGTGCTCCGAATCCAGAGGCTTAATCGGCTAATCGTGATATCCACGAAGGGCGCTCTGAATCCGGAGGCTTTATCGGCCCAAAGACGTAGTGCACCAGTGGGGCTCCGAATCCGGAGGCTTAATCGGCCAATCGTGATATCCACGAAGAGCGCTCTGAATCTGGAGGCTTAATCGGCCAATCGTGATATCCACGAAGGGTGCTCCGAATCCGGAGGCTTTATCGGCCCAAAGAGCTCATAAACTGAATTGTGTGATTTAAGAAATAAGAAACTTCGCATTGCAGAAGTGAAATTTGTACAAATATCAAGTCCCACAAGATGGGTCAATGATAGAATTTACGTAAATGCGTTGAATTCCAAGGTCGTAGGAGATTTCTTCCTGACATATCTTTCAACCGGTACACCCCCCGCTCCCGTAATAGAATCAATCTGGTAGGGGCCGTCCCAATTTGGACCCAGTTTTCCATGGGCCGATTT